GCCGGCGCCCGTGCCATGCCGGAGCGCTGGGGGCGCGCTGCAGCATGAAGGGCGGCGATCAGGCTTACAGCCGAGGTCCCTCTTTGGGCTGGTTCTTTGCTAAATGCTGCTGTTGCTTCCCTTGTAGAGGTGAGTGGCATTTTAACCAGGCTGGTGGGACTGAGGACCGAACCCAGTGAGGGCTCTGGGGAGAGGGTATCCTGTGAACCTCTTTGGGTTCAGTTTCCCAGGCAGCAGAACGCGCGCGCTCTGGGGGATACGGTATTGCAGTTTGGGGACGCGGTTATACTTCCCTTTGAATGCGGGGGACGTGGGTATGGAGTGAAAAAAGGAACTTGGAAGAGGCACAGTTCAGTGCTCATTTACATACGCTTCGGAGATGAACTGACTCCTGGCTGGAGGAATGTGCTTGACACTTTTTTCCAAGTGACAATTTTCTTATGGGACGGGAGATCACTTTTCTCTGCTTGGACAACATGGATTTACAGCTTTGGGCCAGACGGTGGCTCATTAATTAACCAAGAACTCTTTTTGGACCCAATTAGGACTGTATTTAATTATTTTGCTAATTTTAATGCGATTGAAGAGACTGTCTGGAAGCAACCAGTTTCCCCAAAGCAACTTGCAAAACAGGGTGAGAAGGATCCCAGAGGGAGGGTTATGGGTTGTGTAGCTTCTCCTGAAAAAAAAAGGGGGGGGGGTTGGGGGTGAGTGGGGAGTGAGACTCTAAGCTTTACCACTTTACCACTTCAGCCGGGAGAGCAGGAAGAAAGAATGTGTGATTCGAGACAAAAGACTATATCTCTTATTTGGTCTTTGCCCTAATTTTTTTTTTTTTTCCAAATGGGTTTCGGCCTTCTCCCCTATTTACAGAGCTTAGTCTAAGACCCGTAATCTAAGCAGTACCCATACCACTCTCCCAAGGAGTTATCCAAGTAGCCCTTCCTCATAAGCGGGACAAATTCCCATTCCTAGACAAATGTGTGGCTACAGAGACTGATGGAATCTCAAGGAATTTCTCCCGTGTCAATAAGGGTCATAATCCCAGCAACGGATTCTCTCCATGTCTTCATTAATTTGAATAGTCTGAAGCGGAGCTGTATCTTGCTTCAAAAGCGGGCTTTCGGGGGGAGAAGGGGTCTGAGTGGGCAGGGACCGTTCAGAAACTGGAAACCGAGGCTGGGAACTGAAGGGAGGGAGGAGAGGAAGCCGGAAGTAGCCCTTGGGATCCCAGTGGATAGGTTTGTTCTGAAAGCTGCCTTAGGATGAAGGGTTTCCAGGCAAGATTTCTTGGGAGTCCGTTTCCTGTCAAAGAGGAATGTGGGGTTTTGTGGCGGTGGTTGTGTCCCCTGCAGCTGGCCTCCTTGGATCCACATGGAGCAGTACAGTTTTGTGAATTGCCTCGGCTTTTCTTTGCCGAGAAGAGAAGTGGTGGGACCTGGCACCAGCCTGGGAATTCAGAATTTGGTGGCTGCAGGCTCTGTGGCTGGAAGGGGCGTGGGAAAGGGGGTGTTGCTGGAGCTGCCCCAGACCATGGACTGAAGTTGGTGAGAGGCAATGAAAGCCGCTAACACAGCTGCCCTCCCACTTCAGGCTTCTGCTCCTTCCTCTTTCCTGGATTTGAAAGGTGTAGGGATGAAATGGAGCTCATAACTGTCTCGGGCCTGGGCAGAGTGAGATAGCATCTGAGATGCTTGGGCTTCCCCACACTCGCTTAGAAAAGAGAGATGGGAGTCTCCACTCAACCCCAGGGCATCAATTCAGCGGCAGACAGAGAAGATAAGGTTTGTATTGAAGCTGTCTGCATCTCATTGCCGGGAGCCCAGAACTTTGTGGGAGGATGCCCCACTGCAGAAAGAAGGGACACAGGGAGAGGTTTGACTGGAGGGTGTTCACCGGCAGGAATTATCTGTCTGCCTACTCAGCGAAACCAGTTTCTCAAGTCTTACAGACCTACTACCATTGGAAGGCCCTCTCCCTACTTCCCTGTTTAAATAAAGGCCTCTTTTCCCGCTGCTGAGAATTTGCTCTCTTGCTGCCCGCCTGACTCTGAAGCTCATAGGTCACAGCCCACAGCTGTGTTTCCTAGTCAGCCGGCTTCTGCAAACTGGTTATTCAGAGTGTAGAGGACTCAAAACTTACGGAGCACAAAGTAAAAGGAATGAAGAAATGAAGGCTCCAGTTATTTTTTGCTTCGAGTTTAGAGGGCCATACTGAGTTTCTCTCGGCGAAGTGACACGATTTTAGTTGCTGTCACTAGGAAAAAAGCCAGGGCTTCAGTAAATACCCATCTGTGGCCTATAAATTTCACATTGACTCAAGTGTATGTTCGTTCACTTAGTTGAGCTTGTCTTTTGATTTGGAAAAGTGGGATTTCTCCCCTCTTTGCTTGTTTGTTTATATTTTGATTCTTTCAAGTACAAGAATGTTACACAGATTTGAGGAATGATGGTTTCCCTTCCCTACCTTGAAATCTGATGTTAAGGGAAAATAATGAAAGGCCTACCCTTTTCTTATATGGAAGTAGAGATAGGGTAAGGAGAAAAATGAGAATGATGCGTTTACAGCTGCAGTTTTGAAAGTGAAAACAGCCAAAAGTGAAATAATGGCCTAAAAAAGAAAGACAAGAAATAAGTACCAGCATGCATGTGTTTAAAGGGCAGTAAATCATTGGTGTCTCATTCTCTGGGGGAGCTGGGCAGTGCTGTGGCTAGCCAAACTGTCCTTTAAGCCTGAAGAAGTGGGTCAATTTAAGAGACTTCTTTAGTTGGTTTAAAGTTTAAGAAAAAACAAACGCCGAGCCGTGGTGGCGCATACCTTAAATCCCTGCACTCAAGAGGCAGAGGCAGGTGCAGGTGAATGTCTGAGTTTGAGGCCAGCCTGGTGCACAGAGTGAGTTCCAGGACAGCCAGGGCTGTTACACAGAGGAAATACTGTCCTAAAAACACAAACGGAAAACAAAAAACAACAACAACAAAAACAAAACAGAAAAAAACAAAACCTTCCACATACAAGCTGGGCTGCACCCTCACCCACCACCACGATAAACAGATATATAAATTTAACTTAAAAAACTGTTTAGCTTCTTTCAGAGTGGCAAAGGAGATTACAAATCACCTGAAGCTCTATGCCCTACAGAATTTGTGAATTAGATCCTAGAGCCAAGGTCTTTCTAGAAAGATGGCAATTTTAGGGCCCTCAGTTTTCCAGTCAACTTGTAATTAGCTTTGGATGTGTGGACAAGAATCCCTCTGTCAAGCCACACTTGTTTATTGCTGTATCCATGTCTTTGTATTTGAAGCCTGGTGCTATCTTTCCACTCACCCTATGACACTTCAGCTGGCTGAGCATCCCAGAGGGGAGGGTGGTGGTCCACGACTTAGTTTAGGTGAATCAACTCACGTGTGAGCTTCTGGGATTACCCATTCCATGGTCCTTTCAGAACAGGGTAGTTAGTTTCTGCTTGACTCTAAGATCAGAAGGTATGGACCAGTTTCTGGAGAGTCACAGGGTATCCAAAGTCGTCCTCCTCTATATTTATCTCAATTTTTTTCTGTCTTTTCCCTGACTCCCTAACCAGGAGCCTTATGACTTGATGTGATACAGCTCACTTTATAAACTGCATTTAATGTGTGAAACCATGACACCAAGTTCCTTTAAAAAGGTGTTGATAACCTGGAAGAGGTTCTGTATGACACTACACAAGGGACTCAATTCACCACTTGGCATTTATTTTTTCCCCCAACGTACCTCTTGGCCCCCCACACCCACGGATCTACCCTAATCTGGAAAGAGATACGAATCCACAAACTGTGCCCACATGTATCCGACTTCCATGTGTTGCTGGAGTTTTTTCACCCCACGTGGTCTCACAGCTGCTTCAGCCCCAAATAAACACATGGACACTATATTAATTATAAAAATGTTGGCTGGTGGCTAGGGCTTCTTACTAGCTAACTCTGTTAGTTAATAATCCATAACTACTAATCTATGTATTTCTACATGGCCTTATCTTAACTAGAGAACGCCTGGTGCGTTCTATCTTCCTGATCTCTACATGGAGTCTCTTCTCTTTCTCTCTCTGCCTTCTTTTTCCCCAGCATTCTCCCTGTCTCCTAGCCCCACCTATCTTCCTGCCTCTACTGGCCTATCAGTGTTTTATATAAGAGAAACATATATACAGAAGAACATCCCCCATCATCCATGTCTCTCTTAACTAGTGAGAAGGAACTAGTGAGAAGTACCAGCTGTTGACTGGATAACAATACTGAGTGCTGGGCTGTAACCTTGCACACCTTTTAGCCACTTTCCGAAAAATTTAATAACCCATTAACTCTTATTTGTGTTGTTCATAACCTCTGAGTATGGGGCCATCTACTGGAGCATGGAGGACTTACTAAGAGCCACACCCTTAAAGAAAACCATTAGCTGTTGGTAGTTATGAGTGGGTACTCATAAGCCTTTCCCACTCTGTGCTAGCATGTTAGCTGTTTTGATATTGTACAGGTCTCTGCAGGCAACACAGCTGTTATAAGATCATGACTACCATGGTTCTGTCATGTCCATTTTGCTCCCACTTTTTCCAGCCTCTGACTCTTTAGAGTCTTTCTGCCCCCTTCTTCCATGATGGTCTCTGAGTCTTGTGGGGTGTGTATGTGATATAGATGTACTATTTGTGGCTGAACACTCCATAATCATTTATGCTGTGCATTTTGACTTGTTTGAGTTCTTGCATTAACCACCATTTACAGCACAAACTTTCTGATGAGCTGAACTAATCTATAGATACAGAGATACGCATTCCAAGGGTAATTTGATACTGTGGGAATTTGGCAAAATAATAATAGTAGTTTCACCACTAGGGCTTCTAAGATTCACAAACATGGGTTCTTAGCCAGATTTGTAAAATATCAGACATGTGTTTCCTCCTGTGGAGCAGACCTTAAATCCAAGTAATTGGTTACCCTTATGACGTCAGTGCTACTATTGCACCCATGCATATCTTGCACCTGTGGTCATTATTGCAGCTCACAGGATTCACAGCAGAATAAGAGCATTAATGACTTTTTCTTCCCAACAGCCTGCAGAGTACCTTTCAGTACTATGAAATCTAGCCAGCAGGGAAAAAT